ATTTAAAATTGTTGGACAATTATGCATATATTAATAACAAAATTAACATATTGACTACATGCTTTTTTTTCAATTTTTACTAAAATCACCAACTTTTCAATCCTCACTTACCGTAGTATTTAAATGCTGCATGAAAAATACTGTACTTTGGTTAATTTTGATACATTTCTGTGCATATTAATTACCTCATTTACATATTTACATATTCACTACTTCCTTTTAAGAAAATATATATTACAGTAAAATATAATATATGGAACTGTCATTTTTATTATGGGTATAAATCAACAAAACAGGTACAAAATAGTTTTTTTTTTCACATGAGAATTATACAAAAGATTCTATTTATTTTTCATTTAGTAGTCACATGACATAATTCATGTTGACATCAGTGTGATCACTGTTTATGGATGGAATCTTACAAAACCTACAATAATAGATTGCTTTATTCAGTACTATTTTTTTTAAAAATGCCTTTTTTGTTTCGCCCAACAAAAGTCTACTACATCCTTAAAAAGCTGATGTCAACACTGTCATTCGGCTTGAAGTCTCAATTATCTTTTTACAGTGAAAGTTGTTTTCTATTTTCCATGATGTGAATGATGGAATAATATTGAAGGACAACAGATGTGTAAGAGGAGTCGAGGTTGTCATGGAAACATCCTCTTTAGGGAAATAACTGTATAATGAGAAAGTTATAAGTACTCTCAGCTCAATCAAACATCTCAAGTAGTCAAAAATTGAATGATAAAAGTATCCATCCCCACTTTAACCCATGTAAAATGCTGTTTAGTCTTTTGGAGTGTTTTGTATAGTAAAGTATAATCTTAATGATACGTATTATATTCCAATTACATTTACCAATTTGACATTACTCTCTTTTCATGAAGATTTAAGGTAACAAATTTGGGTTTTTTAAATACTCAATTTCAATCTGATTATTCGGGAATACATCCTAATCTGTAAAATAGAAAGTGAAAATTCAGTATCAGTTTTAGATATACCGGGGTATATGCGGCTAAAGGTTGACATGATCATACTAGCCCCGTAATTGTTAACATCGTAATTGTCACATTGATTTGTAGATGTAAAGAAGCAAGTAATAGATTAGTTTCACCTTAGGTTGTAAATGTACTTTTTATTTTTCAGTGTTCTTGTATATTCATAGAGTGTACTGGTATGATCGGATTTTCCCATTCTTGAATGCACGCTGAAATCCAGTTTCTGACTGTCTTGGGTAATCCTGTATCCGCAATCAAAGCTCTCCTACGGGTACCACGGCTTGTCTGACAAATAATTATTGTGCGTCCCATCTGTGTCTGAGAAAATGCATGCTGTAATGGTGTTTCATTTTATATATTATATTTTACAGTTATGGCTTGTCAATTTATAACCGCTGTATTTATTCATGAGAAGCGCAACTTTTTCATACAAGTCATCTTACTACTTTTATATCCAACATTTGCACCTAGTTTAGGGGGGGGGATCTTCCAATAAATGAAATAAAACATTCCCATCTTCTCATTTTGAAGATTAATACTGATATCTGCTATAAATCATTTTATTGTCATTAACCTTTTGAACACTTAGGTCAACATTTGACACCATTCGTAAAATCATTTTTTCATATATTTTTTTTTTAATTTTTTGATTTAGACCTGTAGTTATTCGGAAATTATGTCTATCGGGCAAAAATTATCAAATAATTATTATAAAATACATGAAAAATTAACACTCAAATGCTTCAAAGTATTAATAGCATATAAATGAATTTGACTTTTTGACGAGGAGTTTTCAAAATCTGCCCTCTGCATCATTCTCAAACTTAGCCATTAGTTTTTTAGCTTAGAAAACTTCATTTTCTAATTTTTTTTTTCTAATTATATACTATATGCCACTTTGTCGTAGTGATATTGTCTAAACTATACGTGTACAATGTATGTATACCGGTATGTTTATTTTACCCACCCGTTGTAAAAATAGTTTAACCTGAATTTTCATGCTGATATTCAGTTGTGTTAATGTTGTCCACCCCTATTGTGAAATGGTTTAGTCTACGTGTACATATACACACGTATATGACACAGTTCTTGTCATTTCAATGCTGCGCTATGACCCCTATTATAAAAGTGGATTACTCTTAAGGAAGCTTCCCATCAAGGATGTCAGTGATATGCTGCCTATACTCCAAGTGTTCACGTTGTTAAGTCTTCTAATACTTGTGTTCACATCGGTCTTTGAGCATTTTCGATGTGTCAAGCATCGTCTTAACACCTTGTGTTACTGTGGGGATAAGACTCTGCATGAATAGGTCAAAATATCTTAAAGTGAGCACAAGGACTGAAGAGTTTTTTTTCCACGGTTGATGCGACTTTCATTCATCACAGGTAAGAAAAGACACCCTGCTGGAATTAGTTATTTGCTCTGCGTGAAAGTCCTATATAGATTTATTACTCACTCTAGTCCTGCACATTTAATTGATCAGTTGCCATGACAATAGGTATTGCTCTGAGATATAGACTTTTTTTTTTCGTTGGCAATCCATTGCTTGCCATAGCACCCACTGCTGTTTAATACCTTTTGATTTAAGTTGTTGGGATTTATTTTAACAAGAATCATATGAAAAGTTATATTTATTTGGTCCTGAATGGCTTCGATGACATTGAAAGGGGAAGTTATTCAACAACTCTGTGGGGTATCACATAGACTGCATTCATGAGATTTCAGTTGATTCTTCACGTTTATCAGTTCGTGCTCAGAGAAGGACAGGAAGATTCTAGATCAAGCACAATTTACGATAAATCTTTTGCTTGTTTAATGTTAAAAAAGCTACATTGTCACGATATTTAGTTGAATTTTGGATTTATCGCTCATTGCAAATGTCAGTAAACATACAAATCACAAACTGTTCATTTTAACTCTTTGAAACTGTCAGTACATTATTGGAATGTGAAATTCAAACACTTTATTCTGATCTTATCGATTATAATCTTTATTTTGATTAGACACATAATTGTCTGTTTTGTTCTAATAGCATGCTAACAATTAGCTTGTTTATGAATAAAATATGAATTAGATTTTTGAAAATGAGATTACTCACTAAAGCTGCAGTTAGCTATTACCATCTAAGAGATGTGGCCACTCACTCAAAGTATGTTAAGAGTATGTTGATATTTTCTACTACCGACTTCACAATAATCAACATCAAAATTACTCAGATGAACACAGCAATAAATAGTTTCATATTAAATAAGATTCAAACAAAAAATAGTGTCACAACAACAACTTGAATACATAATGAGTAATTGAAAATAGGAAATAAAACTAGACGTATAACTCGTAGAATATTGTTTCACTTTATTAAGATCAACTTTATATATTGAAAACTATCAGCCTAATTGCTTTTATACTTCAAATGTTTGCGTCTCGGGTGAACTTTTATCAAATGTATTCATTCAATGACAACAATTTCAGTCTTACGAGTAAATTTCCTTCGTCAATTTTGGTCACAAATAATTTTTTACTACTTGGCTACTTTTTAAAAATTATCAGCTTGATTGCCAATAATGCCTGTAATTCTATTACTTTATGATTATGTAAATTAACAGATATGACATCAGAGTTGTCTTGGCCGTCAGGTCACTTGTAATAAATATAACAGACTTTATTTTTTATACTTTTGTGAACTTTTGTTCAATTCAGGCAAAAATCAAGTTTTAAAACTTTTGAGATTCAAAACAATGTTCAGGGATTTTTGTCTCTGTGAAACAACATTTTTAAAGATCATACTCTCATAGAAAATTTCCTTTGAAACATTGAGTTGCTTTAACACTCATCTGGGAATTTGGAAGTCTAAAGCAATCATCTCAACTTCTCTGTCAATTGCTTGTTTAATGCAAACCAATTATAATCTTGTACAAAACCTAATTATACAAGGTACTCACCCTGGAATAACATTCATGAAGACGCTATACCAAGATCATAGTCATTGAGCCTAGCTGTGACCTTTGCTCGCTGTTTTCATAAAACAATTGATGTACAAGGTTAATTGTACGTCTCCCTGATTTTTACAGTTCAATGAATCAAAAACACATTTGTGCTGCTAAGAATACTCATTAGAAATTTATATATACTGTAGAATACTTTATTTTTGCTTGGAATTTATTTTCGCTATTTTCGCTGAAAGGATGATTCCATGAAAATAAAATCCAGCCAATATACTTTTTTTTTCCTACTCATCAAAATCAGTGATAATAAATTCCATACAAAACGCCCAAAAAGCCTTTTCAGCGAAAATTAATTCCAGCGAAAATAAAGTATTCCACAGTAATCCCATGATATTTTCTCTTGGGTTGATGTAACAAGTCAGTATTAATCAGAACCGCAGATGAGGATTGATGCTACTCCGTGTCTGTTGACGTCAGTGGGATTATTTGTTTATTACAAGCATAATTGTACAGTCTAAAAAAGTGAAACTACCGAGTGTTGAAAGTGGAACAATGGCTGAAATAACAATGAATACAAAATACATATTGCGCTCACCGACATGTTGTATGTTAATTTCGACCTTGTAACTGTGTGGCAATTTTGTTGGTTGCATATTTTCATCCCAACCAATTTTTTTTTTGAGAGAGACTGAATAGTAATTCTGAAAATTAACATAAGCTTGAAATATGACCTATGTTTTCCAGTCTGTAGTTATTAGACAGTTTATAAACCTGGAAACT